CGCCCCGAACCACGTGACCCCGCCTCGCCCCTCCCCCCTGCTGCTGCAGCCGCCAGAGGACCCCGCCCCGCCCCGCCCGGGTCCGAGGCGGGAGTAGGCGGAGCTTGTCCCAGCACGCGTGCCCGGGCTGGGTGGAGGGAAGCTCGCTGCTGTGCTCTGGCTCTGCTTTCCTCGGGGGGCGCTGAGGGCATGGGGGGAGCATCCTCACAGCTAGCACAGCACCGCTTTTCTCCCGTTCAGAAACCAGAAGCTACTGGTTTGCTCAGACAGGGTTTTTTTAATAACTGTCTGCTTTGATCTGCCAAGTGAACCACCACAGCCACTTGGTGGAGTGTTGGAGGTAGAGTTTATATATATATATGAACCTTGTTTTGGTTTTTGTTTTTTTGTTTTGTATTTATGTATATGTATTTGCAAAACAACCTCCCCCAAAAAACCCAAAACAAGGTTCTTTGGGTAAATGGGAGTCTCCCTATGCCTGAAGAACTGGTGTATTTGGTAGCCGTGCTGGCCTGAGACTAAAGAAAATGCAAAACCCTAGACCTTTTGGTTCAGAGATGATGCCTTCTATTAGAGCAATCAAGAAACTGCAAAAAAAGAAAAATAATTTTTTTTTTTTTTTGGCAAGCTTTCAGGCTCAAATGCATTTTGTTAATCCATTTTGGTGATCCATTTCCTTCCTCAGGCTCTGGGAAAATTAAAGAGGGTCAAAAGTTCCCCTAGGTGGGAAATAAACTTTGTTTTAGCACTTTATGCCTGAGGAAGGGCGCTTGTGCCTGAAAACTTGCAGAGCACTTTGTTCCAACTCCTTGGGTGTAATGAAAGAGATCGCATCAACCCAAGGAACCTAGCCTGCCTTCGGGAAAATGTGGTTTATTTTATTAGACCAGCTGAATAGTGGAAAAAAAATTGTTCTTTGCAAGCTTTTGGAGACAAATGCCCTTGTTTACTGGGAAGGTTGAATCATGGAAAATGAGGATTGGGTTGGAAGGGAGTTCAGGAGGACACCTAGGCCAGTGTTTCTCAACCCATGGGTTGCAACCTAAAAGTGGGTCACAGGAATATATGAAAGGGTGACAAGCTAAAAATGGATCAACAAAATGGGTTCTCCTTTAAAAGAGAAAAATGTGGCAAACCGTGGCTTTTTCCTTGCAGGCTGGCAGAGTTACAGCCTGCAAGGGGCTGCTTGGGGCCCTCCCTCCCTCCCACACCCAGTGCCCCACACACTGGGGACTGGGGCTGGGGGGCAGCGGGTCGGGAGTGAGGGGCGCTGGGGTGGGACTGGCCATTGATGTTTAGAAATGGGTCCTGGTACACAAAAGGTTGAAAACCACTGATCTGGGCCAACCCCCTGCTCAAAGCAGGACCATCCCCAACTAGATCATCCCAGCCAGGGCTTTGTCAAGCCAGGCCTTAAAAACCTCCAAGGATGGGGAATCCACCACCTCTCTAGGTAGGGGGCTAGCACTGTAACTTTAAGTTTAAGGTCAAAGCAAAAACAAAGGTAGTTGCACACTCCTCTGCAGACCTCCTCTTCCACACCTAATTCTCCCCATGCAGTAGGTGTATAGGCAGCCTGGCTACTTACCTGCACCAGGTGGCTCACAAAGACTTCTCTAGCCCTGTCACTAGTAGTGAGGTACTATGGGCCCTGCTTCTTCTTGCACTTACAATCCTATTGTCTCCTCTGTGCGGTGACTCCCAATTTATACTACCATAAGAAGAAAATCGGGGCCTGCATATTTATTTTTTTTCTCCTGGATAAGGAAGGAAAACTAAAATATACCTCATGGTACTGTCAGAGATGGCAAACTGTCAGGGGCCAGTCTTTGTTCTATTTACAGTGGCTGGGATTTTCATTGAAATCTATATGTTTCATTAATAAGATACATAGGCGGTAGGAGAAAATATTATTTGGGGGGGTGACCCTGTCCCTCCCTCCCTCAGGGCCATTGCGGGGCCGGTGCATGCTGGTGCTGTACGTGGTGGCAGAGAAGTGTGAAGCTCTGGGTGCTGCAGGATGGTGGCACCGTGGTGCTGCTGCTGTTGCCAACTGCTGCAAAATTAGTTGGGGGAGGGGGGCTAAGCCCTGTTAGCCCCAGCCTTCTGCCACCTATGATGATATATATATTTAAAACTTTATATATCAAGGGCGGCCAGAGTTACTCACCCTGGGAGCCACAACCAATTCTCCACCAGCGCTGGAGAGTGGGGTGGGGGAGGGTGTGCTGAGCACCCTGGGGTGGAGGTGACCACCCCTTGCCCCTGTACCGCTGAGCCACTTTGGCTTTCCCTGCAGGGAGCGTACCCTGGGGTAAGCAGTGCGACTGCAGCCCCTGCCCATGGTAGCCCAGTGTCCCCCAGAGCCGCCTTGGGGAGAACTGGGCAGGGCTTTGGTGGAGAAGCCCCAGAGAGCCGCAGGTATTGTGCCGGCAAGCTGTGTGCAGCTCATGAGCTGTGGTTTGGCCACCGTGGTTATATATATACCCCAGTGACTGGAATTTTCATTAGCGAGATGTATATATTAACGAAAATCCCAGTATATATAAAGTTTAGAAACCACAACCAACGAGGTATCTAAAGTCATACATATAAAGTTTTAAAAATATATCTCTCATTAATTACATATAATGAAAGTCCCAGTCACTGTTATATATATAGTTATAGTTTCTAGGGTTGGAAGGGACCTGGGCAGATCATCTAGTCCGACCCCCTGCCATGGCAGGAAAGAGTACTGGGGGTCAAACGACCCCAGCAAGATGGTCATCTAACCTCCTCTTAAAACCCCCCAGGGTGGGAGCCTGCACCACCTCACTTGGAAGCTGGTTCCAGACCCTAGCCGCCCTGACCGTGAAGTAGCGCCTCCTGATGTCCAACTTAAACCTTCCCTCCGCCAGCTTGTGACCGTTATTCCTGGTCACTCCTGGCGGCGCCTGGGGGAACAGGGACTCCCCCAGTGCCTGTTGATCCCCCCTGACTAGTTTATAGCAGGCCACAAGATCCCCCCTATATATAACTTATAATAAGTTATGCATACATAACTTTATCTCTCTCTCTCTGTATATATACCTCTATAGATCTCTATATATCTATATCTAAAGTTTAAAAACACAGAACCAACTAGGCAAACGAGTCAGAGGATATTGTATCATTAGTCCTGTAGTCGTTGTAGTTCCACATACATCTCTTTTTCAGATTCATAAAACACAATCTAGCCTACTTAGGTGTCTTGAGCGTATGAGCCTCCAATACTCCACTGTCAGTCAGTTCTATGCCTAAGTTAAAATGACCATACCTGAGTTATGGTTTTTAGCTAGAGCTCAAAACTATCTGCAGGGCTCTAAAATAGAAGAGAGACATTACCAAGAATGGCTGACAGGCAGCAAAATTACAGAAGAAAGGATAGTTTGAATAGTGAAACATCAAGACCATTAAAAAGGAGAGTGGATTGTTAACACCTGCAGAGTGGCAAAAGATTAGCAAGAATCACAGAAAAGGTAATGAGCCATGAAGTCTGGGCTGCTTGAATAGAAATGCCACTGCCCCTCCCAGGCAGTTGGTTTTAAAGTTTGGGTGGAACAGGAATCAAAAGGGATTGCTACTGTGCTTGTACACCCACCCTGGATCCACCCCTGGCTGAGGGCAATGTTGCACTCTGCTCTCCTTGTCAACCTCATTGCCCAGTGGCTGGGATGATTTAGTGAGGGATAATCCTCTGCCTTGGGCATAGGGCTGGACTAGAAAATCTCATGAGGTCCCCTCCCTACTCTCTTATGATCTTATGATAT